CAGCGCGTGTCCGCATCCTCCCGGTACGTTTAATGGGTTAAAAACCACCCAGAGTTACAGCACGGTGCCCGACTGAACCAGAGCGAGGTGAGCGGCGAGGCCAGGGACGAGCAACAAGAGCAGCCAGCCATGGCCAGTCTCCCCCAGTCACCCGTCCCGTTCCTGCCCCGCAGAGAGCAGCGACCTGCTCATCGTGACATAAGAACTAGGTTTGCAAAGTAGAGACCGCTGAGCTAGGAGTAAAACATAAAAAAAAAAGTGTACAGTCTGTCCTTGTGCCTCACATAGCCAGGAGCAGCTCCAACTCATCAAGTATTGCTGAGCATTCCTTAATTTCTGCTTGAAAGGAGGAATGCTTCTCCATGGACTGGCGTTGCTCCTCTTCTGCCGATTTCCACTTAGCCATCGCCGTCTGTGTAGAAAAGTCAGCGTACGTGACATTTTACTAACACCAAAGTACTGAGTAGCAAAGCCAAGTTCTAAAGCATTCGAACTCTTCAGTGGGGCCCTGCCTGCCTTGACCGGGATGTCTTTTACCTTTGTTCCTTGAGGAAAACAGCAATTTATCTGTGACCAGAATTTAGGAAGTCTTATATAACAGCCGTTTCATTAATTAGCTCTTAAGCTTCTTACAAAGAATTGTAGAACTGTAATTTAATTACTATTTTGATCAATATATAGACAGTATTATTGAAGCTGCTTGTGCTTGCATACTTCTCCCAGAGAGACTACCTGAGGTCACTGGGCTGCAACAGTCACCAAGTCAGATCAAGCGTTCCAAGTTCCAGTGCAACAGCCAGACTGGGGGATCGGTGTTCTGCCAGGGGTGCTGACAGCCACCTGCAACACAGCCTGGAAAACTCTCTTAGGACAGGAGCTGGTCTAAGCAGGGGTTTTGGCAAGATAGTTAATTTTCTTCCTAGTAGCCAGTACAGTGCTGTGTTTTGGATTTAGGATGAGAGTAATGTTGATAACACACTGTTTTAGTTGTTGCTGGGAGAGCACAGCCAGGACAGCCGACCCAGGCTGGCCAAAAGGACATTCCCTGCCACGTCACATCATGCTCCGGATATAACGGGGGAAGCTGGCCAGGAGGCAGATTCGCTGCTTGGGAATGGACTGGGCACCAGGATTGTTTTTTTCCTTCCACATGTGGTGAGCAATTGCATTTGTGCATCATTCATTTTATTATCATCATCATCGTTATTATTATTCTCTTCCTTTGTTATCCTATTAAACTTTCTTTATCTCAACCCATGAGTTTTTCCTCATTCTCCTCCCCATCCCCTTAGGGGGGACGTGAGCAAGCGGCTGCTGGTGTGTAGCTGCCAGCTGGGGCAAAACCACAGAGACAGTTCTGTTTCCAGTCCTGACATCCATCTTCACTTTGGAACTGATTCACTGTAACTTGGAAGCTATCAGTCATTAATATCACTTTCACCTTCTACCTTGTTTCAAGTTCAATTGTACATAATTGAACTTGAAATGACCGAGATGAAACTTAACATTGCTCCACCATAACCTTTGCTTTAAGCCCTCTATTTAGAAGGGGAGTGACACATACAGTTTCCTTAATGCACATATATTTATAACAGAAGATGAATACTGTAGGTTTTCACTGTCTAGCTCATTTGAAGAGAGAGCAGGATTGGGAGGAGCAAAATAACCTTCAGAATCTCACTCAGCACCAGACACTCATTACCTGGTTGAGTCAAAGTCACAGTCTTACCTGAAGCATCTCCTTTTCTTTTGCAGCTGTTTGATTGAATAGCCTCAATTCTTCTATGAGCTTCTCAGTTAACAGCTGAAGAGCCAAAAGGAAAATAGTTTAATATATGCAAATAAATGCAAGTCTCAGCAGCTGTTTCCACGACATGAGTAGAAAAGGGCAGTAGCACACAGATCCCTCAAAGCCTATTGAACTCCTATTGCTATTTCAAAATTTTCTTACCATTGTTTGCTTCTGGCACTCTTGTGTCTTTTCCTCCTCCTCCAAAATGTTGCTGCCTGTAACTAATTCATGAGATCTATTAGCAAACCTCTACTATACAAATAACTTTGCTTGTAGGCAAAGTCAGCTTTTCAGAGTAAATTTCCACAGCAAGACAGACTAAATGATTTTCAAAGTTTATCAAGGACAGGGCCTAATACAGGAAGCAGATTTTTCTCTTAAGCTAGGGAAAAAAAAATAAAAAATTGCCTGGAGATACAGCAGAATTTCCTTAGCAAGGAAGCAGAATCCAAATGTCTTACGAGCAGTCACATCACAGGGAAAAAAAAAATAACAATTACAAAGAATGAGTACTAGAACGGTGTGTGAAATGCATAGTCCTTACCAGGATCAATGTTTCTGCTTTCCAAAATCACCATGCAAGTCTCCTGAAATTTCTTGAGCTTCTCAACTTCTTGTACCAGGCCTTCATTCTCCTCCTTTAACTCCTTTATAGTGCCCTGTTGTTAACACCGGTTGTAAGTGAATCAAGTTTACAAAGAGATTTTCTTCTCATTAGTCAGTAATACTGAGTGTAACTTCTCAACTTCTTGTACCAGGCCTTCATTCTCGTCCTTTAACTCCTTTATAGTGCCCTGTCATTAACACCGGTTGTAAGTGAATCACGTTTACAAGGAGATTTTCTTCTCAGTAGTCAGTAATACTGAGTGTAATGCTAATGGCTTAACAAGCGCTCCACTAGCACCAAGAATCAAATCTTGTCCTTCCGTCTCTACTACCACAGCCAATGAGTCTGTTGCAGATCCTTACTCCTGCTTCTTGACAGGATTAATACATTTATCACATCCACATGCCACAGCAATTATTAGGAGGATTAATACATTTATCACATCCACATGCCATAGCAATTATTAGAAAAAAAAAATCAATCCTAGAGATAAATTCCTTTTAGGCAATCCTAGCATATCTTTTCTTGTGCTCCCTCTCATATATATGAATAATTCAAGAGTTTGATGCATTGCAAAGCATATAAACATTGGGAGAAAAAGGGCATCTTCGAATCTTTAAGCCACAGCAT